CGTGGTTTCGGGTGGTCAAAGTTCTCTCCTCTGCGCCTGCGCGGCGGCAGGCCTTGCGGTTGGGTCTGTTTCAGGCCAGTCTTGGGGACGAGGGGCCCCATGCTAACCTGACTCAGGGAAGGCCGGGAAGGCGGCGTGACAGCCTTGCAAACCCAAGACTTAAAGTCAGTCACCACAAAGGATGGTCTGAAATTAAAATCTTTTAGCTAAAGAGAAGTTTATGGTGGGTGTCAAGTCCCAGGCCAGTATCTTCCCCGACAAAGATCATCTTGGATGTTTACTGAGCCTGTTGTCTTTTTGGATCTAAGATATCACCTGTGAAAAGTCAGGGTTTCTGGACCCCTCAGGGCATAAGGAATAGCGCTAGGACTGGAACCACAAATCCTTCGTTGTTATTGTGATCATGTTAATTGTTGACCCTTAACTGCCCTGTACCCACCGGTGCAGAGGAAGCACGTGCCCATCATTTCACTTTTTATCCCATCCCTCCCTAATCCATCACCAGTGGATTTCTGTCACCCACCTACCTCCCCTCCTTGGGGTGTAATGTGTAAAACAAGGTGCAAAGCTGCCCTTCTCCGGAGCAAGATCCCAATCCACTGAGATCCTGCTTCCCGGCCATTGTCTACAGTTTGGCTCAAATAAACTCAAAAAATTCTTCGCAGGTTTGCATGTTTGTTTGTTTTTTACATTAACAGTCTCATTCTAAGTTTCCAAAATAGGCATTCATTTATTAACCAGAATGGGGAGAGGTGTCTCTTTTTTTTCCTTTCAACTGGAGTGACTCTTTCAGTGGGAAATTTCAAAAATTGCTTAGCCTTGTTTACAATACCAATAACCTCATCAAAGGCGTCTCCGGGGAAGGCCCTGAGGGCTTTGTGATGACCTTAATCACGTATTAGCCCTCCCCAACACTTAATCCCTAGTTCTACAAAACCTTTATTCTTGTCTCTAAAAAGGTTGAAAGGGATTAATAAAGGAGGAAAGGGAGCTGGTTAGGAATTGCAGGCAAAGCTGTGCGGGCCGGAAACAGGGTCCAGACAACTGCTTGTTGGAGTTTAGCGCTATGCTCCCCGACTCAGGCTTTACGTACAAAGGAGTCAACTTGTAAATGTTCAAATGTTGAAGAAGAGGAAGAGGGTTTAATTTTCAATTCTTTGTCAGCCTTTCCATCTGTCCAAACACTCTACCCTTGGGCCCAGAGCTTCTTCATGGCCAGGCTTACACTTTCTCCAAAAGAGAAAAAGCCGTCAAAATACGTGTTTTAAAACAGGAATATTAAAAGGACTAAATGGAAAAGTCCCTCCACCGACAAATCCACCATCCTTACTATACCTACACCCCCCAGGGAACCATTACATAGTGTCCTCGTTTCTCAGTGGAAATAAAAAGATTGAGCGAACCTTTTCCCGCGTCAAATAACAGGGAAATGGACCCAATTTATCAACTAGCACGAAAAAAACATTCAGACAGAAAAGAAACGAAAGCTTTTCAAGGAAATCTGCTCCTCCCCTTCCAGCCCGAATAAGCCCAGGTTCACTGGCCAATCACAACGTTGACATGTTCAGCTCTTCCCCTCGCTCCGCCCCCGCGATGACCTAATTTAGAAAAAAAACAACGCGGCGCCTGTGGTTCTCAATCAGGTCCGCAAACATTCTATTTAAACGGCTGCGCGGAGCGCGAACCTTCACTGCAACTGCAGGCATGTCCGGACGCGGCAAAGGCGGGAAGGGCCTGGGCAAGGGCGGCGCCAAGCGCCACCGCAAGGTGCTGCGCGACAACATCCAGGGCATCACCAAGCCCGCCATCCGGCGCCTGGCGCGGCGCGGCGGCGTCAAGCGCATCTCCGGGCTCATCTACGAGGAGACGCGCGGGGTGCTCAAGGTCTTCGCCCCGCCCCCGTCTTCCCCCAAAGGCCCTTTTCAGGGCCGCCCACCCCCTCTCGGAAGGGCTGTGCGCGCTCCGGCGCTCCTTTAGTTGGGGGCACTTGTTTGATGTCTGCGCGGCCTTAATCTTAGGTTCGCAAAGCGCCGGCGCCCTCGGCTCGGGAGGGAGCGGGGGCTCCTGGGGTGACCCGCAGGAGCAAGCAAATGGGAGAGGTGCTAGGTTCGGGCTCTCATCGGGAGGATATGAGTTCCTGGAGGCCCCACTTTCATTTTTCTGGCAGGGCCTTTACTCTCCCGTGTCTCCCGATAAGAACCACCACAGGCCGTGGTTGTGGAGAAGTTTGCTGTGGCGCGGAGCCCTGCGAGGGCGGTCCGCCTGGTTCCTAGTGGGGGAAGAGGGAGGGGAAGTTGAATAGGCTTTTACAAATCCGCTCTGTGAGGTGCAGTGAGACGACCACAGGAACCCACTACTTAGAATTCGACCTGGACGGAAAGGCTGGGTGTTAATTCCTGACGGATTTGCCCCGGGCGATGTCGGGAAAGCTCTTCACACTGTGAACTCACTCCTCCCCTTTCTTTCCTCGGTTTGGGTGTAAATGTAAGGACCTTTGCTGATTTCTGTTGTCAGGCCGGGCCCCTCCCTAAGCCCGAGGCCAAGCTGTTGGTAAATTACCTTTGACTAAGGGGGTCGGGGCTTTAACTCTGGTCTCTAACTCCCTCCGCCCTGACGGCCCGGCTTCCGTTTGTGAAGGGAGAGATCCTACCCCACCCCACTCCCAGGGCTCCCAGCTGTTCTTTTTATTTTTCCTTTTATTTTTTCGTTTTCCATTTTAAATGTGCCAGCTATAAACGGTGGAGAAGTTTTTGTTGTTACGGCCCATTCAAACATTACAATATAGTTATAAAAGGTGTTACGTCCTCAGGTTGAATCCAAAGGCCGTTTGAAGATTTCCAGAACCATCTCACGACGGGCCGCTGGGCGTGGCCGGAGTGCTCGTCCCTGTGGCCTGATACGCGGTTATGTCAATGAAGCCTCTGGGGGACAAGCTCCCAGGGACAGTGCCCGGTGTGGGCGCAAAACCAGGTTACATGTCGGGGCTGGGATTGCTGGGCCATTTTTCTGTGGCTAAAGGAAGGGGTTAATTGCTGTTCCCAGAATGGTAGGGAAAACCTTGGTGGGTTTCCTTTTTTTGTTTGTTTTATTGATTTCAGAGAGCGGGGGAGAGAGAAACATCAATGATGAGAGAGAATCATGGATTGGCTGCCTCCTGAACTCCCCCAATTGGGGATGGAGCCTGCAACCCAGGCATGTGCCCTGACCAGGAATTGAACTGTGACCTTCTGGTTCAAGGTCAACCCTCAACCACTGAGCCACCCCACCCTGGCTGCTGTTAACTTGCTGTGTGCCAGGCGCTAAAAGGCCAGAGGAGCACAGGGGCCCATGGGGTCAAGGAACGGGTTATAGACGATGTGATTTGAGCGATGCTGGGAGGCCAGAGGCCGGTGGCTGCAGGGTGGGATGAGGCCAGTTGTTGGTCCCTTTTCCTGGGAGATATGAGGGTCTGCGGGTCCGAGGTCAGTCCACCGCTAGTCAGGTGACCAAAGCCTATTTCCAGAACATTTCCAGCCTCCAAGGAAACTGGGTGTCATATCCAAGCGAGGCTTGGACTCGGGGCTGATTCTACACAAACTGAAGCCATGATGTCAGTTGTTTTTCATATGAGACACAATTTAAATCTTTTCCTTAGAGGCCGTTGTACAAATGAGTTCTGAAAGGGTCAGAGCTAGTGAGCCACCTGGAGAAGATGCTCAATTGGAAGGATGTGGCACATCCTTTTGCACTTAAACACCAAGGCCCAGAATAGGATTAACAGTATGAATTTCATATTTACGATGATTTTAAATAAGAATGCCAAATCACAGTGAAAATAAGCTAATTTTAAAATGAGAAACATGCATTAACTTGGAGCGTTTTCCAATACAAGCAGTTTTTGTTTACAAACGTTTGAGGCAAACCCTAACAACTGTGCAGCCTCCAACATTTCCTTAAAGACGAGGATTGGCATTTTTCTGCCTGTGGGGCACCACCTATACACTCTTCCTAAATAAAATACATGGAGTCACAATCGTATTAAATAGAGCAATCATATTATCAAACCAACTTTTAAAAAATGTGACAATAGCATAGTAACTATATACTATGGAAATAAGGATAAATAGCATTTCAATACTCTTGTGACAACTGTAAATATTTGTGACTTTTACTGGCTAATCACTCATAATGTAAACAAAACAAGTTTAACATTACAGATGTAAAAAAAA